TTATAATCATCTGCTTTGAGTCTCTGAGTCTAGGAGGGGGCTGAAGTAGTCAGTGCTGGTTTGGGATGTTGGTTCTATACCCCAATTAAAACTACTCTAAAGGTCCCCCAGGCCCCAAAGAATAGAACCCTCTCAAATGCCAGGGCCCGTAGCAAGTAGGCAAGAGGCTAGCCTGCAGTCCTCTCCAAAAGCCCCTGTGGCAGTTGGGTCTGTCTGTACACCCTCACTGTCACAGCTGCACTTAGGAGGGACATGCTGAGCCTATGTCCTCTCCACCTGCCCAGCATATCTCCGCTACCTCACAGCTAGTAACGGATTGGGGCCCCGCTGAGGTCCTAGCATAAGCTTCATTCACTTTTTCTTCTCTGTACCTATGCTTGGGTTGGGACTTCTGCAGTGCTGATCTGCTGCCATTGCTATGGGAGACCGACCTGCTCCTCCTGCAATAGGCTGTCCCACTCATCACATGTACATGCTTCATGACAGGCTGCTTGCTAGACCTCTGTTACCCTTGGTGACCACTTTTGTTTCACACTATAATCACTCTCGTACTGCTAACTCCATATCCCAATGTGCTATACTGACCCAACTGTAGACTATGTGAGGTGCCAGGTACTTGCATTACAATCCCTTCAGACCAGGCAAGTGGCAAAGTTTCAAAAGCTTTTCTGAAAACTCTCAGCATATCAGGCAAGAGTCCATGTTTGGCAGAGTCCATGATTAGAAAAGTCCTACAAGCCGGTGCTCTAACACATTGGTGGTATCAGGGCAGACTGCAGATCCCAGCAATCCTCCTTCATGTGGAAAGCTCCTAGAGACAGATGAGTAGCAGCTGGAGATCACATCTTGCTGGCTGTCTGTGCCTTCTATCCCAAGAAGCAGACTGTCTGTGTCTGGGCAGAGCCCTCCCCCTTTTATTAACAGCACAGGGAGAGAGGCAGAGCTCAGCAAAAAGTGTGGGAAACAAGGTTTACTGTTTCCCCCGTTTGTTGTAGCAGCTAACCAATATCTCACTAACCAACATTTCAACCTGTTTACACACATATCAGGAATATGACATTTTGAGGTAACATATTCTTTTATTTCTTTTCTATTTTACAAATATTTTTTTTCAATTTTTGTTACCAACATTCCAAATGTAAGAACGAGGTTATATTTAATGGCATTTGCACTTAAGAACACGATGTTTAGGTAGATGCATTTTATATGATTTTGGTCCCATTTGCACTTTTCTGTTTTTAAAAATGCATATATTTTTAATGCATGTAATGATGTGCATTGAAGTGATGCACATCTTAATGCATTTTGCAACAGAAATACACATCAATGAACCAATTAAAAATGTATGTTTTTTTAAAACAGAAAGGTGTGAATGTGGCCTTTAAATCTGATCTGAAGTAGTCCTGACCTATACTAATTACACTGACAACTAGGCTGCCTATAATTTATACATGATGTTCACATCATATTTGTTTTTTTCATTTAAATATTTATGAGATGCATCTTCACATATTGCAGACTTTTCTCAGGGCCCTTTCCCATGCGTGACATCCCTTATGATCCTCTGTGAACAGATCTCCTGCTAAATCACAGCTGAATGGTACAGATGACATTTTTTTGACAGCCATGTCCATTCAGTTTTTTCCTCCATCTTTTGATGGAGGTAAACACTGAGCTTAGTCAACCCTTCTGAGATCTATGAACAGGTGTATGTAAATGGATGTTGATCTGTCTTGTTTAGGTCTGTTTAGTTTTAGTGATTTCACACTGATATGCTGCGTTTACCCACACCGTGGGTGCAGTGCACTTTACCTGCAGCATTCCTGCAAAATATGTCCACCCCTATGCAGCTAAAGGGGGTGCGGTTGAGACAGGGGTGGTAAAAGCATCTTAACTATGGGGTTTTACCAACCTGAAAATGCAAATATAAATTAACCCTTACTGTTCGGAGTCCCCTTTAAGGCTGTTTGCGGGTGCAGTGCATCTGCGACTTTCCTGGGTTAGCTGCGCTTTGCCATAGACTTCTATTATATCCTGCAGGTTTGGTGCACTTTCTGAAAGCTCACCAAAACTCCTGAATGCAGGAGTTTTGGTGCGCTTTCAGAAAGTTCACCACATCTGCAGGATATAAGAGAATCCTATGGCAAAGTGCAGCTAACCCAAGAACGTCGCAGATGCACTGCACCCGCAAAAGCAGCCTTAAAGGGGACTCCGAACAGTAAGAGTTAATTTATATTTGCAGTTTGGGGTTGCTAAAACCCCATAGTTAAGATGCTTTTACTACCCCTGTCTCAACCGCACCCCCTTTAGCTGCATAGGGGTGGACATATTTTGCAGCTATATGCCCTGTGTAGCACCTGCCAACCTTGTGCTGTACAGCAAACAAGAGGATAAAGCAGGCAATAATGTGTTGCTTGCTCACCACCTGCTTTAACCCCTTGGACTCCACAGAAGCATGCAGTTGCAGGGCGCTTGCACAGTGGCCCAATTTACTTGAATGGGTTGTGATTGGCAGGCAGTAGTACCCACCAAAAGTTATAGGGGGTTTGATTTCTGCTGCAGCATGAGTAAACTCTTGGCTGCTGCCTCAGCAGCTAAAGGGGGTAGAGATGGGGGGGTAAAACCACCACTCAATTGCAGGGTTTTACCATCCCCCAACTTGACATGTCACGAATGAGCCCTAAGAGTGCTGCTGTTGAATGCAACTAAGGGCTCATTCACAAGTGCAGCAGGCACTGCTGCTCCTCTGAAAAATGATCCAAGTGTGTTTGACAGGTGGTTAGGAGGTGATATTTTGCCTCTTCACCACCTGATTTAGGCTCTGTTCACACCAATACTTTTTTTGTGCTTTTTGCAGAAATGCATTACAGTCCATTCAACATGGTTTCCTATAGAACATGTTTACATCTATGCTTTTTTGAGCTGCTGCGTTTTTGGAAAGGGTCAGGGACTTTTTGCTACAATAGAGTTGAATGGAGAAGCTGCTGAAATGCATGGTAGTGCGTTTTTTGCTGCGTTTTGCATTTTTCCATTTTTTCTTCCTGCCCAGCATCAAACAAAAATTCCTTAAACAAACAAAAAAGAAGCTAAACAAAATGCGGTAAAAACATGTCAAGAACACGTGTAGAAAAGCGCAAAACAAACTGCAAAAAGCACTGGAGAAATGCATAAATGTGAACCAATCCTGAAGCCCATGATTGCCGTGCAATGCAACACAGCAGTACAGCAATTAGAGGTTGAAATCAGGTGTGAGGAGGTGACACTGGGCCCACTGTTCTTTGACTTCTCCCATGTTGTTCAGGTAGATCTCCACCTCTTTAAGGTTGCCTACTCCTGGATTAAATAGTTAATCATATGTTCTCCAGTTGTATGAAATTAAATTGGTTCTGGTATCATATTTGTATTAAAAACCTGTAATACTGTAATCTTTGCCAAAATGAAGGACACACCAAGATCAGAAACACTTTTTTCTCTAACACACAAAAACATTGCCTCCAGCACTCAATACTCAACTTTTCCTGTTCTCCATTTCTGTTTGAAAGCTGTTTCAATCTTTCATCTAAAATAGACCACAATCTGCATTAATTTAAAACAAGGCACATTCCTTGCATGTTTCTGCTACTGGGTTCCAGGCTTTGGGAAGGCTAGGGCAGACATTCAACATTATGAATCAGTTACACCCCCTTTAGGACGTCGTGTAGAAGAGGAGATGAGTCTCTGCAAACTGAGAATACTTTGCAGTACTGGACTGAGGTCAGAGTGCAATTATGATAGAGAAGGTGCAGTGCAACATTTTAAACATTTTCTCATTTTTTGGGCGTGATGCTCCCATTTCTGTTGTGCTGAGTTTACCTGGTCAAATTGGGAGCATTGATGTTATTTTTTTTTTTCATTTTTTGTCTTTGCTTTATTGATAAATTACAGGTAATGTGTAATTTTTTACATTTTTTACCTGCATTGCTCACTTTTTAGAGAGCAGTATAGGTTCGGTTAACAGGTATTCAAGCGGCAACAGTGTCATCTCCTTGATGCCTGGTTTGTTTGTTTTTTTTGACAGCCGAACAGGGTTTCTGTATGGGAATTCTGTGCCACAATTGTGAGGCTAGCATTTTGCTGACCAGTGCAGCGCTGCCCCAACTACAAATGTAAAGGAATCCTAGGCGAGGTCAGCTTGAAGTAAATTTTTTTTATCATTGTATGTTCTTATTTTTAAAAAACCTTGATGATTTGTATAATTGGTAGTTATACATGTACAAGGGGGTAGGCATATTTTCTCAAAATATTAGACAGGCTCTGCTTTCTGAATTGCAGTGAAACTCAATACTTTTGCTAACCTGCTCCTTCTAACAATGAAAGTCTGTCTCCGCTTGTTAAAAACAGATGTAGCACCCTCCTAGTTAGGTGCTAGGTTGTATGTACTTAGGTTAAGGATGCGATGCAAAGACCGCTGGGGTTGGGACCAGTGGTGCATACCCTTACTACCAGGGACACCAGAGTCATGTCTGTGCAGAACAACTACCCAGCTCAGGCCAAACAACCACCAGGGAGAGGCGATAGGCAGAAGCTGCCCAGATTCTCCTGCTCCCAGCACATCGTACAGCGGAAAGTGGCTTTGGAATATTGATATGGTTACCCTTATGCACCAAGAAAGGTGATGGAGGAAATTGAGTCCAAAAGAAATTTCTGGTGGATTTCCTCTCTGTCAAGGAGAACTGAAGCCAATTAAGGTCCATCTTCATTGACAAAGTAGTCATTAACTAGTAGCCGACCGCAGATAGCCCAATGACGGCTGCACTGCGGCAGGCCAGTTCTGGGTGGACGTCATATGACGTCCCCCCAGAACGCGCTCTCCTGTGCGCCCCAGGGGGCGCGCACCCGGCAATCTCCGTGATCGCTGTGTCCTACGGACACAGCTGATCACGTGATGTGGTAAAAGGGCAATCACAGCGGCCTTTTACCACCTGATCAGCGGTGTCCAATGACACGCTGATCAGAGGGAAATGCAAGTGCCGGTTCTCGGCTGCACTTTCCTCACGCTGTCAGATCGTGAGGAAAGTACTGCCGAGAACCGGCAGTTGTCAGAGCGGGGATCGGCACCGATCATCAGGGTCACTGATCACCAGTGCCCTGATGATCGGTGCCCAGCAGTGACACCCGCAAGTTCCGCCCACCTGTGCCCAGCAGTGCGCGCACCAGCTCCGCCCACCCGTGCCCAGCAGTGCCCCCACCTGTGCCCAGCAGTGCCCCCACCTGTGCCCAGCAGTTCACCCACCTGTGCCATGCCACCAGTCAGTGCCCATCATGATGCCAGTCAGTGCCGTCTATCAGTACCCATAATCAGTGTCACCTATCAGTGCCGCCTATTCAGTGCTGCATATTAGTGCCGCCGTATCCGTGACACCTCATTATGCTGTCTATCATGCCGCCTAAACCGTGCCACCTCATTAGGTACTGCCTATAAGGTGCCCTTTAGTGCTGCCTATCCAGTGCCCATCAGTGCCGCCTATCAGTGCCCATCAGTGCTGCCTCATCAACGCACATCCAGTGAAGGAGAAAAAATACCTGTTTGAAAAATTTTATAAAAGAAACAAAGAAACTTTTTTTTTTTTTTTTTCAAATTTTTTTGCACTTGTTTTATTATAGCCGCCAAAAAGTAAAGCGCCCAGTGGCGATTAAATACCACCAAAAAGAAAGCTCTATTTGTTGAGAAAAAAATGTATACAAAATTTCATATGGGTACAATGTTGCATACCTGTGCAATTTGTCAATCAAAGTGCGGCAGCGCTGAAAGCTGAAAATTGGCCTGGTAAATAAAGGGGTATAAGTGCCTGGTAGCAAGTGATTAAGAAAGCCGGACAGCGAAGTCAAGATGGGCCAGCAATATCTGGGATCCTGTTGGCTGGCCCAATATCACATTTCTGATTTCTACTGCTGAAGAGGTCCTATGTTTCTTGATGGGGACCTGTAGATAAAAAAAAAAAAAGTCTTGCAAATGCTGTGTCTGGGCTCATGACTAGAGATGAGCGAAGTATTCAAAAATTCCGATTCGGCTGATTCGGCGAATTCGAGAATAAATTCGATTCGAGGCGAATATATTCGCTGCGAATTTAACTTTAAAAAGGGTGTTTTCTATGCTTCAGAGAAGCCTTTATTGTAGTGCAGAACACTGTACCTTTAAATTTAAATTGCCCTTGGAGTGGGGCTGGGGAAGAGAAATAATACTGTCAGTCAGTATTACATGCAGATGCGAGTGCCGTCGATCTTGAGAACTTTCACCGCACACTTTTCACTCATTTGGGCAGTCACGGACGGGGGCCAAAACCAGCGAGTGGTGGAGCCACAGTGTGGCGGTGGAAAGCAGCAGCAATGGGAGGCCATAACAGCACCCTACTGACAAAATGGAACCAGCAGCAGTGTGAGAGGAGACCTGAAAGTGGCACATGGCAGAGTGTGGCGATGGTGACAGCAGCAATTGGAGGCTGTACAGGGACCCCATGAACACACTGTAGGACCTGGCAGCAGCATGATGAGGCGTGTACAGGGGCCCATGGACACGATTAACTGGCCTGGCAGCATGCATGAGATCCGGTACGGGTGCCCATGGCAGATTACGGCCTGGCCGCAGCAATGGGAGGCCCGTAATCAGCCAGCACCTCTATGACAAAAATGGAACCGCAGCAGCAGTGTGAGTAGACCTGAAATTTGCAACATGGCCAGAGTATGTGGCGATGGAACAGCACAATGGGAGGACTTCAGGGACCCATAGACACCACTCTGGAACCTGGCATGCCAGCATGAGGAGGCGGTACAGGGGCCCAAGACAGATTACGGGCCTGGCAGCAGCATGAGGAGTCGGTACGGGCCCCATGGCAGATTACGGCCTGGGCAGCAGCAATGGGAGGCCCGTAATCTGCCAGCACCCATATGACAAAAATGGAACCCCCCAGCAGTGTGGGACCTGAAAATGGGCCCTGGGAGAGTGTGGCGTGGGGAAAAGACAATGGGAGGCCTACAGGGACCCATGCCCTCGGACTGAGCAGCATGAGGGGCGGGACGGGCCCATGACAGATTACGGCCGGCAGCAGCATGAGGATCGGTACGGGGGCCCCCTGGGCAGATTACGGGCCT